ACTCTCACAAATAAAATATTGAAGTCTGAAGGAGCTTTCGAGACAACAGATGGAAAAGTTTACTTCACTGACCAACAGTTCATTATAGAACATCTCATTGACTTAGAGTCGAAATATTCTAAACTTTACAACAAACACAAAAAGTTGAAAGGAAAACAAAAACAAATGGCATATGATATTTATGAAGATGTTGACGACACAACTGTTCCTGCAAGTGAGGTAAAGTCAGAGGAACCGAAAAGTGACGAAAAACCGATAGAAGAAGAAAAACCAAAAACTGAAGATAAACCAAAACCAAAGTTTAGTTTCAATACTAAAAGTCAACCTTCATTAGCTGGTATGGGTTGGCGTCAAAGACTTATGGCAGCAGGCGGTTATGTAAAGTAAAGAAAAAAAACATATTTTTTTATTTTTATTTGAAATGTACGCTGAGTTGTTGGAGAAGACCGTTGGGAAACTTGTTTGTTAGACGATGAAATATGAAATGGCATACCATTTAAAATAAAACATTTTTTTAAAAAAAAACATTTTTTTATTTTATTTGAAATGTACGCTGAGTTTGTTGGAACAGACCGTTGGGAAACTTGTTTGTTAGATGAGAAATATGAAATTCACTGTTGTGAGTCATTTGAAGTCAGAAAAAAAAAGACAAAAAGAGTTTTAAGCGAATGTGAGCGAAATGACGGATATACTACTATGGATATGAGTGGAAAACACTATTTTAAACATGTTGTCATTGCAACTCATTTTATACCGAACCCTAACAATTTACCTTTTGTAGACCATATAAACCATATAAGAAACGACAATAGACTTGAAAACTTACGCTGGGTTACTTGTTCTGAAAACAATAAGAACAAAGGCAAATTTCGAGATATTGTATTCGAATTTGTCGACGAACTAGAAGATGAAGCAATTGAAATTACAGACTATGGTAAGCATACGTTTGAGTTTTACTACTATAGCGAAGAACAGGACTCTTTCTACCTTTATACCGGCGTAAGCTATAGGAAATTACAAGTATATTTTACTAAGGCGGGCTATGCTCATGTAAACGCTAGAGATACAGATGGAAAATGCGTTCGAATACTTCTTAACAAATTCAAGAAGCTATATGGCATACCATTTTAAAACAGTATATTTTTTTATTTTTATAGAAATGCCTCCGCATAGAATGGATAGAAAATCTGCTAGAATAAAAGCAGAGTTGCAAAGATATGGTTGGAGAGTTTCGAAGAAGTTTAAATATAGGAAGGGAAGACCCATAAAAGTCTATGACAAACTGGCTGGTCTGACCTACGAGATGGACTTGGAAACAGCGCGCGCCAATTATCCAAACAGACTAGAGAGGTTAGAAGAAGAACGTCTTATGAACTTGCCTTTCAATGTTAGTGAACCTCAAGTTGAAGGACACGACGGCTTTGCCAGATTCTACTGGAAACATGACGAACAATTGCATCCTTTGAGAAGGAAAAAAGGTAGTGCAGAGGATGGTCATGCTCCCATGGAAAGAACAAGATATGCATATGAGAAGTATCGTGAAGTTAGAAGTCAAATTACATCTGGTCGAACCTTTACAGTAAACTTTGACGAAGGAAAGAACAAAGAAGGCTTCATGGGTGTACTTGCTGCCATACAAGACGGAAATAAGAAAGGATACAATCTCAGACTAACCGTAACAGATTTGGACGGTCACATTTACTATGCACATGGCAATGTCACAACAGCTGCAATGCTTCTTGACGCTTTCAAGACTACAAAGAGAGAACAAATGGTTGACTCCGACTCAGACATTTTGAATGCAATTGAAGGAATTGCAAGTGTCAAGTTCGAATGGTACCAACCTAACCCTCAAGCAGTCAGACAACATGTTTGTTAGATGAGAAATATGAAGTAAAAACGTTTTTTAAACCATATATTTTTACATATATTAAATGCTTCAGGTTGAAAGAATACGGTGGAGCCAAAAGTGGCTCGACCTCAAAACAAACATTTTGTGAAGAATATACCAACCGCCGGAATTCCGACGGTTGCTTTTTATACAAAATTCAACGGGTGAATTTTCATGAATTTCCTTAAGATAGAAAAAAAGTGAGTTAAAATGAGATGTTTACTGAAGGTGTCACCATGTCACTCGGTCAACTAACATCTTTTTGAAAAAGTGTGGAGTGTGGTAGAATTTACGAAAAAGTGACACTTAACCTTAAATTTCCAAACACTATTTTTTGATTGTATTTTGTTATTTATATATTTATATATATAAATATATTTATATATGTATATTTATATATGTATATTTATATATGTATATTTATATATGTATATATTTATATATGTATATATTTATATATGTATATATTTATATATGTATATATTTATATATGTATATATTTATATATGTATATATTTATATATGTATATTTATATATGTATATATTTATATATGTATATATTTATATATGTATATATTTATATATGTATATATTTATATATGTATATATTTATATATGTATATATTTATATATGTATATATTTATATATGTATATATTTATATATGTATATATTTATATATGTATATATTTATATATGTATATATTTATATATGTATATATTTATATATGTATATATTTATATATGTATATATTTATATATGTATATATTTATATATGTATATATTTATATATGTATATATTTATATATGTATATATTTATATATGTATATATTTATATATGTATATATTTATATATGTATATATTTATATATGTATATATTTATATATGTATATATTTATATATGTATATATTTATATATGTATATATTTATATATGTATATATTTATATATGTATATATGCATGTATTTATATATGTATATTTATTTAAAAAAATTAAAAATAATATAATTAAAATTTATTTATATTTTAAATTTCATACTGATCTTCGATTCCAATTTGTGAATTGATATCATTAACAATTGAATTTCGGTGCACCCCTATGAGAGCGCTGGCGACCGAAACACAACTAGTAAGATTGTGTATTAGAAACTGCTTCATGCTGTGTTGAGTAAGCTTCGATGTCTTTGTAGGATAGCTTTCTGAGAGCGAAACAAGATAGTGTTGAAAAAAAAATTGAAAATCTGAGAGACTGTGCAAGAGCCAACGACCAAAACACTACCAGTAAGATACAGCAGTAGTAGCTGCTTCATGCTGCATTGAGTATTGTTGAATAATTTGAAGTAGTGGTTTTTGAAATCAGCACCCCTATGAGAGCGCTGGCGACCGAAACACAACTAGTAAGATTGTGTATTAGAAACTGCTTCATGCTTTGTTGAGTAAGCTTCGATGTCTTTGTAGGATAGCTTTCTGAGAGCGAAACAAGATAGTGTTGAAAAAAAAATTGAAAATCTGAGAGACTGTGCAAGAGCCAACGACCAAAACACTACCAGTAAGATACAGCAGTAGTAGCTGCTTCATGCTGCATTGAGTATTGTTGAATAATTTGAAGTAGTGGTTTTTGAAATCAGCACCCCTATGAGAGCGCTGGCGACCGAAAACACAACTAGTAAGATTGTGTATTAGAAACTGCTTCATGCTTTGTTGAGTAAGCTTCGATATCTTTATCAGACCACCTTTAAATTAACCACTCACATTCTCACTGTGGTCCATCTAAAATTTGTAAACTTTATGACATAAAATTATATTTTATGCAGGATCCCACCTATTACTTAATCTTTTTGGAATAAATGTTTTATAATATTTATCGATTGATTGTAATTTTTTGTATAAAAAAAAGTTTTTTATTTATATTAAAAATATATTCGGTTAATGATATTATCTTATAATTTGTAAATAAATCTAGTAATAAAATAACTTTAATAGTTGGTGTCACTTTTTCGAAAATTCTGGTTTTTTCAAAAAAGTGAGTTAAAATGAGATGTTTACTGAAGGTGTCACCATGTCACTCGGTCAACTAACATCTTTTTGAAAAAGTGTGACAACATGACATTTTGACAACAACACAGGAAATAGATTTCATCGTATATTTTTTGTTAAGACTTCATCGTATATGTTTTGTCAAGACTTCTTCATCGTATATGTTTTGTCGAGATTTTTATCGTTGTGGTCCGACGGTTAAGCCACAAACGAATGTCCGACGGTTAAGCCACCCAAAAATATTTTTTATTTTTATTGTAAGAACAGTATGACAGTCGAAGCAAAAACGTTCACGAACAAATCTAATGGCGAAACATTCACAAAAGGCACTTACAACGGTATTGAAGTCTTACGTAGAGACAAGGATGGTTATATAAATGCAACAAAGATGTGTCAGCAGTTTAGGAAAGACTTTAGAAGGTTGTTGGAAAATAAGTCCTGGGAAGAGTATTTTGAGGCATTTTGTGAAGAATATACCAACCCGCGGAATTCCGCGGGTTGCTTTTTATACACAGTTCATGCAGGAATTCCTGATGAAATCAAACAGGTTAGAGGAACGTATGTAGACCCAAGACTTGTAAACTATATAGCAATGTGGGCTTCTCCAAAATATTGTATAGCAGTTGGAAAAATTCTGGACTCCATAGACAAGAAAGTTCATGAGAAATTAGATGAAGAAGAACTCGAAGATACAGTAGAGAATGCAAAACCTTTGTTCGAAGAAGAAGTTAGAAAAATGCATGAAAAACAAATAGAACATGAACGTGAGATATGTTCTGGTTATAGAGACTCGCCATACGAACTAGACCAATGGGAACAAGAAGATTTAAAGAGAGAATTTAGAGAATATGAACTCGCTAAGATAGCATTAGAAGCTGCAGAAAAGAAGTTAAAAGTTTGGGGTCGTTTTGTACAAAAATATTGTGAGTAAATGAACCATTTTTTTCGGCAAAAATATATTTTAGGTGAAGTGGTGACATCTAACCTGTTTTCTAACCTCTTTTCTCACCCTCTTGAATTTTCATGAATTTCCTTAAGATAGAAAAAAAGTGAGTTAAAATGAGATGTTTACTGAACTGGTTGGATGTCGCCTTCTGAGGTTATGTAGAATGGTTGACCCGAGAAGTGAAGGAGACCCTTGAGAATTTGTATAATTCGTGGAATTGGACTCTCTCTGTTTGGAAGTAGTATCCAAGGACGTTTGGCAGAGAACTTTATAATGGCTTCTTTCTTCATCTCCTTTATGTCGTCGAAGGCTGTCCCGTCTGGTATTTGAATTGGAATTCCAGTCGAAATCTCGAGAGTCAAGGCAGCCCTTCCAGAAATAGTGGTGAACTTGACCTTGGGCTTCATGACCTTGCGCAAGTAGTCTTTAACAAGCTCGTTAATTTAAATTAGGTAAATTGCCTCGTCGGTAGGTTCGATGTTGTCCATTGCTACTGTCAGTAAAAGTACTGCTACTGTCAGAAAAAGTACTGCTACTGTCAGTAAAAGTACTGCTACTGTCAGAAAAAGTACTGCTACTGTCAGTAGCAGTACTGCTAGGAGCAGTAAAAGTACTGCTACGAGCAGTAAAAAGGAAAATTTGAGAGGGTTTTCGACGATAAAGTACTGCTACTGTCAGTAAAAGTACTGCTACTGTCAGAAAAAGTACTGCTACTGTCAGAAAAAGTACTGCTACTGTCAGTAAAAGTACTGCTACTGACAGTAGCAGTACTGCTAGGAGCAGAGATTTTTATCGTTGTGGTCCGACGGTTAAGCCACAAACGAATGTCCGACGTCCCACCAACCGAGCCCATTCCCAAACCAGAGGAACCTAAAGCACCAGCCCCTGCACCTCAGTTCCAGCAAGTCCCTCCACCAAATTACTACCAATTTCCACCTCAAGGTTACTACCAATTTCCACTACAAGGCTTCCCGAACTACCCTCCTCCTCAGCCTATGCCTTACTTCCCCAACCCTTGGATGTTTATGCAAAACCCTGCCCCACAATTCCAATTCCAATACAAATCGAAGAGAGACCAAGAGTTCGAAGAAGGTCTGAACCGCTTACGCAAAGAGTATGCTACAGCTCCAATTGAGAGAAAGTTGTTGCTAAATTCAGTAAAAATAATGTTTAGGTGAAGAGGTGAGATTTCACCTCTTTTTTCACCTCATGAATTTTCATGAATTTTCACGAATTTTATATATTAATGTTTTCGTTAAGCCACTTTGTGCCGTCAGTCAGTCAGTTTAGGAAAGACTTTAGAAAGTTGTTGGAAAATAAGTCCTGGGAAGAGTATTATAAGGCATTTTGTGAAGAATATACCAACCCGCGGAATTCCGCGGGTTGCTTTTTATACACAGTTCATGCAGGAAATTCTTGAGTTTTGGTTGAAAGAATACGGTGGAGCCAAAAGTGGCTCGACCTCAAAACAAGCATTTTATGAGCTTACTAAGGGTGTTATGAATAAATTCAAAGGTATTTACATACATCCTGACCTCGTTCATTTTGTTGCTAAATTCAGTAAAAATAATGTTTAGGTGAAGTGGTGACATCTAACCTGTTTTCTAACCTCTTTTCTACCCTCTTTTCTACCCTCTTGAATTTTCATGAATTTTCATGAATTTCATCGTAAATGTTTTGTCAAGACTTCTTCGTAATGAGTGTAAATGACCCAAAAATAATGTTTAGGTGAAGAGGTGAGATTTCACCTCTTTTTTCACCTGTTTTTTCACCTCATGAATTTTCCCGAAATAAAAAATAAAGTTAGTTTTATTTTTTTATTTTTTTTTATTTTGTATGTAAGAACATGTTAGCAACAATAGGTTCTACAACACTTCAAACAACTACAGCACCAAACTCGTTAGTCATGAATCCAACATCTATGTTAGTAGAGATGAAAAGCTTCATTCCTTCTTCATATACTTTCGAAACAAAAATCCAGAAGATAAAGCAAGAACTTTTAACAAGTAATTTAGACTGTAGTGCGAAAGATGAAACAAATGAACAGTATCTTTATGAAATGCAGGACATTATTGACCATTTGCCTAAACTACCTGAAATCCAGCAACAAAAACTAACTATTCCTGAATTCGACGAAATTGAAGTGAAACCAACTGACTCAGTAGAAATAAAGAAGTTCATACGTAAAGTAAATTATGAATTCCTTGGTTTTCATTGCAACCATAAGGTTATGGACAAAGATTGCGACATGGTATATAAAAACATTTCTGACATATATAAATCTGAGGAGTTTAAGACCTACGACAACTTTGTTTCGTTAGTTGCAAAATGTGTATGGCAGATAAGAGATAAAGATAGAAGAGGCAAAGTATGGAATGAACAAATAAAACCAACTGCTTCAGATTTAAAGAAAACCATTGACGCTTTAGTTGTTTTAGCAGGTAAGGTTTCAGAATATAACGCAAAAATGAACCCGCAATGTTCTAAATGTAAAGCAGCAATGAGGAGATATAACTACTCAGTAAAAGAGATAGAAAGAATGAGAAACGACTATGCAGATTTAAAGAAAGAAGCAGAGAAACCAGCAGAAAATAAAATGGATATGTTAGCATTTCTGAACAAAAACTATCCAACAGCAGAAGATTTCCTTCTATCTGACGTCAAGAAGAAGTATAAAGAAACTTTCGGTATCGTTAAAACATTCGATGTACTGACAGAAGAAATAGAAGCTACGAAATTGTTTAGGATTTCAAATATACATCATACAATTCATGTGAAACGCTTATAAAATAACTGAGGTGAAAAAACAGGTGAAAAAAGAGGTGAAATCTCACCTCTTCACCTAAACATTATTTTTACTGAATTCAGCAACAAAATTCATGAATTTCCTCATATGTTTGCTTCCCTCGGAAAACCGAGGATAGAGATTCCGTACGAAAACAGTGAAGAACAGCGAGTAGGTAAGAAACCCTAGTCGCCAAAACTCTATGAAAATCATGAATTTCCTTAAGATAGAAAAAAAAGTTAGTTTTATTTTTTTTATTTTTTTATTTTGTATGTAAGGACAGAAAATGTCAAACATTGAGTTTGAAACAGTTAGAAAGATAGACAATGAGACCAAAATAGTTAGAATAGGTGATTTAAACGTAAGATACTCAAAGAAATACAAAAAATATTCTTTGTCAGACATTTTCACACTATCTGAAAAGAAAACATCCCACGACTGGGTTAGAAATGCTTCAACTCAGAAAATTTTGACAAGAAATCCTGAGCTTATGATATCGGTAAGATTCTATGGAACAAGAGCATATCTCATCGACAAAAGTCTTATACCAGTAGTTTTGTTATGGTTAGACCCAGTTGTTGGATATAACTTCATAACATATGGTTCATTCGATACGGAACGTTGCAGTGAGGGCTTACTTTACATCGTTCAGAAACCGAAGGACTTCAATACAAAAAGATATAAGATAGGAAGGACATATAATATAACTCAAAGATATGACAATATAGTCAATAGAGTTAAGGTTGTGTTCGTTAACGATATGAGAGCTGCAGAAACAGAACTACTTGAAAAGTTTGAGAAAATGTATGGTGCTCCCATAAAAGGTAAAGAAACGTTTGAAGTAGATGAGATAGATAAAGCTATAAAATTATTTGACGAAGTTGCTGAAAAATACATGTAAAGCGTTTATTTTTGGTCTTTTGTGAAAGATAGAAAAAATAAAGTTAGTTTTATTTTTATTTATTTTTTTATTTTGTATGTAAAGACAGATATGTCAACAACAGAGAACACAACAACAGTTATAGTCCATGAAGCTATAAATGAAGAATATGAGTGGGTTCAGTTTAACAAACAACTCCGCTCATTCGTTCGGTCAAAGACGATATGTACCAAATGCAAAGTATTTTGACAGCATGTTTTGCTCCAGATACTAAGAAACCACAAGACTGGTTTAGGAACCAAAGCACTATTGAACTATTAAATGAAGCTGAAAATTCGACTACGGATTTTTTTCGTAGTCGCAAAAAACTCGAGTAAGTAAAAAACCCCAGTCGCCAAAACTCTATGAAAACAGTGAAGAACAGCGAGTAAGTAAAAAACCCCAGTCGCCAAAACTCTATGAAAATCGTGAAAAATTGCCAAACGGTTTGAGAGGATATTATGTACATAGACTTCTTGTAAATGCTTGCAATGTGGGCTTCGCCTCGTTATGCTTGGTATATTTACAGACTTCTTGACGAAATTCATAGACAAGAACGTGAAGAGATGGAAAACAAGCTTGAAGCAAAAGACAAAAGCATTCAGAAAAGAATACCACGTTCGGTACCAAAAGGAAAGGAAAAGAACTATAAGTATATGATTTATACTGAAGAGATGGAAAATGAAGAAGACAGAGATATGGTTATGTTGCATTTAGTCAGAAGAAACAACAAAAGCTTTTACGACCTTGCTAAGATTTACAAATCTGACAGAAATTGGTTCTATCGCGAAAACTTACCGATTTCAATGACACCGAATGAAGATGTGAAACAAATAGTTCAAGATACGTTACCTCAAACACACTATGATATTAAAGGTTGTACAATTCTTACCTTCAAAGAAGATTTGCCATTGTTAAAGGAAAAAATAACAGAGTATTTTGACAACTTCAAACAAGTAGAGTAAATGAACTCTTTATTTTTCAAGCTTGACTTTTTACAATTTGAACTTTGTTTGCGTAGATATGAATTCTGAAAGAAGTATGAGGGTCTTGTATGACTTTGTACTTCTCCCATAGTTCATGTCTGTCAAACTTACCTGCCATGGACTCTTTCATAAGTTCCATGAAATCGTCTTCGGACAATCCAGGGAAAAGTATTATGTCAGTAAGTATTCTTTTAACATCCTTACTTAAACTCTTTGCTGTCTGTACACATATTACGACTGAGATGTTAAAGTGTCTGAGCTTCTTAAGAATTCGACACATGTCTTGTTCTCTGTTCTTTAACAAAGGATGAGAAGCAAAGTCATCTAAGATAAGAAGACATCTATGAGGGTATGTCTTCCAATCGTAAGATTGCAATTTCTTCGAAATGTATTCTATCTCTTTCTGTTTGTTTCTGAAGTGTTTCTTCTCTAATATTCTCTGCATTTCCTCATTTGGGTCTTTAAACTTCGAATTTATATACTCATTTATAGCATTATACTTCAAAACTCTTCTTTGGTACTTCTTTATCCAATCTAACAACTCAGTATCCTTTATACATACTAACTTAGACTTCTTTATAATATCTTTGAACGAATTGACGGTTTGGTCAAATTGACCAGAAGTACTACAAATAACAACTAACTCATAGAATGGGTTCTTCTCATCTAGTTCTTGTTGTTGTGCAGCCATTTTAAGATAAGTGAAAGTCTTACCCGACCCAGGTGGTGCGATTAGACCTGTTATACCATTCTGAGCAAATAAGAACTTGTCATGTATAGGCTTTATCTGAGCATTTTCTAACTTCCTCTTGTTCTTCTTCAAAACATTCTCAAATTTCTTGTCAATGTCAGCAAACTTTTTTTCTAACATATTTTTAGAAAAATTAAAATTTTTATCTTTTAGAAAATGTCTAGCGATTTCGCTATCTATATTCGAGACAAGCTTTTCGACTCTAAAACTTCTGTCGACCATAAAATCTTACATAGTGTAAACAAGAAAGGTGAATTTGTTCTAAAGTTCTGTTTCTGGGAATATGACAAGAACCATAAAACATTAAGCAGAGAAGTCTTAAAATTTGTCAATGACAGACTTGTTGACAGAGATTGTAATGCATGAAAATTCGGTTCACTTCATTTTTGACACTTTACATATCGGATGTATTATCTAAGAATTATATTATAAAAGTTCGTATAAAACGCAATAGAAGAATACAACACAGTATGGGTTCATACAGCTCTTAAAGATCTTTTCGGTGGAAAACCTACTCCAAAATCAATTTGGGACCAGGGTCCTAAATGGACAAAGGACTTAAACCCAAATCCTGAGTTCGAAATACAGCCTCGTAACTAAAAATAAAGTAAAAATACGAATAAACATTTTATTATAATTTAAATAATTTTTTTATTCATAAAGTAATACGATATATAGCTAAGCTATGTAAGGATATTCTGATGCTGAGAGTTTAAGAACTTTAAATTACGTATAGA